TAGGCAGTGTTAGCTGACGCCCGGGGCAGTTGCGCACGGCCGTAATCCTTTCACATTCAGTAGTAGTTCGGACAAAAGATCCGATCGGGCCTGCGAGCATTGTGCGACCCTGTGCATTCTGCTCGATCAAAGTCGAACTCGATCCTCGAGGATAGCTGTTCGTGCTCGCCCACCATCCTCCCAACGACCCATATCGTGTCCCCGTACGCCATCTCGTGCGTCCATACGGTGTCCGTGTTTTTTTAACGTGATCACGTGACGAGCGTAATCGCTACTAGTCGAGTCGTCGATCGGAGCTTTCGCCCGAGCAAGTCCACCCATTTACATTCGCTCGACGGAGGATAGTTCACGCAGTCAGTCGTGAGAGACTATCGATGAACTCGTTCATTTCTAAACATTCCACGGTGATTCTCAACGCGCAAACCTTATTCCTCAAATCTTTTCAAAGAGGATAATTCGATACACCTCGATCCCCTCACCCCTCACTTGAATGTATGCTTATCTGCTATCTCCGATTATATCGTATTAAATTCATCGAGTGTAACGCGACTCAGGTTCTACTTGGAGATATGATTGGGACTCCATCTCTCAAAGCTAGCTATCAGCCAACTATCAACAAGGCACAAAAAACGGTGCATGACGAGAGACTGGCATTTCATAAGAAAGGATTTTGTCCTCATCATAATGATGTCAAAATTGTCAAAGGAGGTATCATGAAAAAAAAACACATTGGATGCTGGAAATGTGATAAGCTCTTTGAAATTGAAGTTCAGAACAGTTCTAATCCTATTGGGTCTGTTATAACTGTTCCAGAAACCCAAATGCCATTTGTCGATGAAAGATCTATCTCTAATGCTTCTCCTATTGTCGATGTCCCTGTCAATTCCGAGCTTAAGAAGTTGAAGAATGATCTTGAACTCACGCGCAAGGCCCTTGAGGCCCAGAAGGGGAAGAATTCGACTGACCATGAACTCTCTCAAGTAGCCCAGGTGGCTCTGAAGGGAAAAAATGATGAGATTATCAAGTTGAAGAATGATCTTGAACTCACGCGCAAGGCCCTTGAGGCCCAGAAGGGGAAGAATTCGATTGACCATGAACTCTCTCAAGTAGCCCAGGTGGCTCTGAAGGAGAAGAAGGATGAGACTAAAA